TGTAGAAGGTAGTGCAACTAACTGAAAGAGCAGTTTAACAGAATTCGGTGTGATATTTGCGGATTACTGTTTGATGCTTGTGATGGTGTGCTCCACCCCCCTGCACCTGATCTTTATTTCCTGTAACCCTGTTCAAGTGATAACCACCAGTGGTGACCATAATGAATGCTGTCCGGTCGTGCTAGATGCATCCCGCTCAGGGGAGATGGATAACAACACAATAGCCAAGGGCTGTCTTGTGCAACTTGCTCCAACAGCGAGGGGCTTGCTGGGAATGCACCGACCGAAATACAGCTGGTGTGCCAATATGACTATAGGTCAATCATCTTACTCCATAAATAGCAGACAGCCCAGGGGCCCATTGAGCCCTCCTGAAATGACAGTGGGCTGTGTGCCAGGATCTCCCCTTGAGAAGGGACACCTCTCAGGGTTACTTCTCGAGGTTGACAGAATCCTTGCCGCAACAGATCCTTGATAAGTGACTAATAGCACGCTAACTAAAATCTTTATTCACTTAGGTCTGCTAAGTGATATAAAGGATTGATTGCACATGTATAATCCTTTAGATATAAACTGTTGATCAAGCCTGGGGCTAGGATTGGATCTAGCCACACCTAGACTCCTCTCTGAGAAGGAGTTTAGAAATCAAGGGGGTCCTTTCTGAAACCTTGTGACTCAGTGGGAGGGTCTCCCTGATGATTTTGCCTGACCCTGTCTTCTAGGCAGTAAATAATCAAGTAAACCTTGCCCATGAATCCTGTTAAATGAATCTCATATTAACCTTTGAACTTTGTGAATTTGCTATTTTGTATCAGTAAATATATTTATTACATCTCTTTTAGGAGTGAAGTGTGTAACTCACTCTGACCCCCATTCTCACCACCTACGACAATGTTAATGAAGAACTTCAGTTCAATACTGGACTAGATCCAAATGATGTGGGAACCTAAAATAGCATTTTATAGGTCAAAGTGCTCAAGTTCAATACTGTGTTATTTAAAAGAAAAGAAAAAGAAAAAAAGAGCCTGTTCAGTGGTTTGTGTTTAGGCAAACTGTGCTGGTGAGTAACTTGAGAAGGTACCTCTCTATTCAGTCTTCATGTGGGAGCATTTGTATCTAGACCTAGCTTGGGCTGAGTAGTTTGGTTTCCACCTTCTGTGTGGGTTTGATTTTGGATCAAAGAGAGAGGCTTCTGTGCGTATATTGGAGTATATTCTGGGTGCACTGAGCATGGAACAGCAGACTCCTTGCACAAACCAGGACCACACTTTGAACATTTGTACCTGATGGTAGGGTCTAGTGATGTAGGACTCCTCATTTGGTTTGGTACTAACTCTTTTAATACAGACTCCTTTAATAAGTTGTTAAATCTGACAGTCAGAGACCACCTGTAGATTTGTAATGTATACTGAAGGACTGTCCTGCATCCTTGATGCAGTCTGGCCAATAATGCATGATCAGTTAGAAAACCAGTACTGTAAGAACCAAGCACCAGTCTGCTGAGCATGCTTCACAGGTTTTCTCAAGCCCTGCAAGTATTGCAGGTCTGCGCAGTGATAGTGCTATGGATAACGTCCTGCTTAATGCAAGGTTAATGAAAGGGAAATTAATATGATACTGTGCTAGGAATAAAAGTATCAAGCCCAGTTTATTCTGAGGTGTAGTAATGCAGTGTTTAATGCATGACAGGACAGAATAATGCTTTTTTTGTTGGAATTGACTCATCTCTCTGAGCTCCAGATAAATCATAATGCTGCCCTGCAAGTTACTATATCTAAAATAATTAATACACATATGACCATTTAAAACATGTTAGTAAATACTGATAGATGGCTTGTGCCTTTTTGACTGAAAATATTTTTTGCTTATTGCAGTTAGAGAAGGATTTCAGACCTACAGACAAATACTAATGTAGTTTCACTTGTGCAGGTGTTATATTAAATACAGAGAGAAAATTGTTTCATTTTTATGTACTCCATGAACTTATTACTAATAACTGGAACTGAGAAACTTCTCTAATTTATATCAGTGGAACAAAAAGAAAAGTTCGAAATCTGACTAAACGTAGTGGTTGAAGTACCAAATGCTGCAGTTTATAGTCCCAGAGGTCCATTAGGACTGCTGAAATGTGTCAACTTCATGTATTACTAGAGTTTTCATTCTGCTTCTACCTCCATATTTCAGTCAGAGCTAAGAGCTACTGAACCATACATGAACTATAAGAGGATGTAGTCCTTTGAAGAATTTACAACCCAAAAGACAAAAGAGGTAAAAAGAGACCTGAACAGACTTTATTTTAGCCTAGATATACAGAATACAGTATTAGGATTTCTTTATTATTTTAACAGCTCTCTTTCCCTGTTGTACACTTAATTTTTTTTAAGAACTTGTGTAAGTCAGAACAAAGCCTGATACTAGTGCCACCACATGTCAGAAGGAAGGTTTATAGGACCCTGAACCCTTCCAGTGACAGTGGTGAGCATGAAACGGATCACAAGCCAGTAAGCTCTACTGTGCTTAAAAAATTTGGGCTGACTGCTAGAGCTGGAGTTGCTGAGAGAGGAGGCAGTAGCAGAAGGACGGAAAGTGAGAAGGCAGGGAAGAGAGTCTAGGGAATGAATGAAAAGAGGTTACAATGGAGTTTAGTAGGCAACTGGAGTGAAGTTCAACTTTGAAATCCTTGGAAACTATTGGCTGTGAGGCTGGTGATAATGCTTGTGGTGAAAGAGGTTTTAGTTCTGTTGTTGTGAAGCTTCACCTTGATGAACTGTGGGCTGGGTTCCAGTGGCTTAATGTCTTTCCTTCTGATCTGCTGAAGGAGTCTGAAGTGTTTGATCTCTCAATTATTGTGCTAACAGTCTGGTAATACCTTGCAGTTCTCGGCTACCTGTGAGTTCTACAGAACTTGATACAGCCTTCATCCTATGGACCAGACCTTGCAGCAAGTCCATAAGGGAAAACTGAAAGGTTTCATGTATCCCGGCGTAATTTCTGATTCTCATCAGTTAGCAGTTTTTGATTAGACTCCTCATGTATTCCCTCTTTAGGGTTTTCATGAAGCTTAACACATAATCTAAATCCCTTTTAAGACTTAATTGTGTAGATGGCTTTGCACATACTAGTTTTATCCCATGGGATTAATTAAGAATTTATCGAAAAACATTCTTCCCCAAAATCTTATGGTTGTTTTCAGTACAGCAGCTGAAAGCAAGTCTTATCAGTCTTTTTAAATGATTCATTGTGTTAAACACATATTCAAATGCAGGCATTTTTTTGTCTGTATGTACACGTTTGAAACAGCAGGCTTTTAAAATTGTTTTGGTTATGGCTTTTCAGATGTTTCAGGTATGTTTAATTATTTCCTATTTTTAAGAAACTATTTAAGGCATCAAAGCTCAAAAGAGATAAGCATCTATCCTTTGAAAACATGATTGTGATTATCATTCCTTGATGAAGAATACAGGAAAATAAGTCACTCTTGCTTTTGAAGCACTAGTTGCATCCTTATATATCAAAATTTTAATTGCTGCATGACTTTCTGAAATGAAAGACTTAATCTACTTTGTTTAAAATATATTTTCAATAAAAGTACAGCTGTTAAGTCAGGAAGTAATGGAATTGGGCACCTAAATTTTATGTGAAGTGCATACCCCATTATGCCTGATCTTGTTATGCTGTCAGAATGTGAGCAATTAACTTATCAGTCTTTAGGAAATAAACTACAACAATAACAAAAAAACCTCCCAAAACAAACACCCTCAGCAAGTGAATGAAATGTATTCTACATAAATATTTAAGACCAAACAGTGGACTTAATTCCTACAATTTGGAAGTGGTTTAACATTCCTTTCTTCTCTTTTTCTCCTCTTGTCAAATCTAGATAAGCAGAAATAGGTAAACCAAAGCATGTGATTTCTAAATTAAGTTTCTTCTGCATAATAATATAATACCCTTTTTTATTTTTCTTTCCACAGGTACTTTCAGTAGAACAAACATTCAGAAAGAGAAGTCCTTACTCTTGATTCCCTGGTATCAAGGACTCATTAGGCACCATCTTCAGTCCATTTCTTCAGTATTTTTGACCAAGCAGAGGGAGAGCTTTCTTCAGTGTTTGTCCCCCTGTCTCAGCTGAACTTGACTTCCTCACTGTTTTTCTCATATTACAAATGCCTAAGAACAGCAAAGTAGTGAAAAGAGAACTAGATGATGAGGTTATTGAGTCAGTTAAGGACCTTCTCTCTAATGAAGACTCTTCAGATGATGCCTTTAAGAAGAGTGAACTTATGGTTGATGATCAGGAAGAAAAAGAAGTAGATGTTGAAGAAGGCTCAGATGTAGAAGATGAAAGACCTGCTTGGAACAGTAAACTCCAATATATTCTGGCACAAGTTGGATTTTCTGTGGGATTGGGAAATGTGTGGCGATTCCCATATCTGTGTCAGAAAAATGGTGGAGGTAAGTATTGTGGTAGCTAGTCGTAGCTAAGTGCTGAAACTAACATTTCAGATTTCAAGGTTAGCAGAGATACCAACAGTAAAACCTGCTCCAGCATGTCAGTTTTTTCTTTTAATTTCTGCCAGAGCCTGTGAGGAAAAACTCAGATTCTCTTAATTTAAAGAGATACATTAAAGAAAGTAGCAGATTCTTTGAAGATTTCATTTCCTCATTTTAGGGGAAAAAGTTGTTAATATAACCTTAACTAATGGTCAAACTAGTGGCTAAGCAAGATGGATATTTATGGAGGAGTTGAATTATTTAGGACCTAGCTATTGTGCTAAAGTGTTCTTTATAGTAATTGGACAGTAAATCAGGTCATTAAATCTGCATCCAATCTAAAGATCAAAGCAGTATTTGGTCTTTAGGATTTAGCAGTACTAAGCTTCTCACCTTTACTTTGTAATTGCTTTTAGCTCTTAGGCCATTTGATCACGATTTACTTTCTACAGTAACAACAAAATACTGTAGGAGTGAAAAGGATTTTTTTACTGATAATGAAAAATTTAAATCATTACAATGATGGAATGCATCTGTTTTATGCTGTTATATAGTTAGCTGTTTTCCTAAATAACAAGTTATCTTTCACTTAGAACAGTAACAGCAAGCTGTTTATTAGCTGTCCATCTGTGGTCTTGAAGGTAGTATCAAGTATGAGACTGGAGACCTTCCTTCCTCTATGAATACAGGATTAGAGTTTTATCCTATGCTTTACTGTACCCATCCATACTATGTTAATGCACATCCTATTGTAGCTAATTACTTAGCTGAATTCAAAACAAACCTGTTGTTTTTTATAATACAAAAAGTGAATCTGTACTACAGAATAGAAAATAAAGAAAAACATTTTATTCATGCTGGATTTTAGAAGTTGAATGACAAAACTGATGTAATTGAGGAGTATAGAAATGAGCCTAGAATATAATCAGAGTATAATTCTGGACTTTCTCTGTTGTCTCTCAGTCAGTTCAAGCAGTAAAAATGGAGTTTATACTTTCAAATATTCCATCTCCAGGATAAAGTCTAAATTCTTTTATATCTAAGATTTTGTAAGATTTTTTTCACTCTCATTTATCTATTATCAAGCAGATCCACCGCTACTATGTTTCCCCCTTTACTCAAGAGATAAAGTCATTAAATGGTTGATTTAATAATTTGTGTGGAATCTAAATTTTTCTTCATTTGTAACTGTAATACTAACTGAGAAAGCACTTTGTAGTTTCTCAAAAGCCGTAGCTTTTCAGTGAATGGCAATCGGATCTAGCCTACTAGACACAGTGTAGAATTGATCACGTCACTACTAGTTGAAAAAATTAATATATTTGTTAATTAACAATTTTCAAAACAAACTGATTTGTAGTTAAAGGTGTAGCTATTAAAATGTTTATATTCTGTATAATGCATTACGGTGGTTTGTTTTGTGTAGTTGTGTCCCTTTTGAAAGTCTGTGTTTAATGTAGTTAAGTTACTGATTTTGCAAGCCCCTTCAATTCTCCTTTGAACCAACAGAAGACATCTGTTAGTATGTTTCTTAGGCTGCTGGTTTCATACCATCAGGCACTTTTAAAGTTACTCTGCCAGTGAGTGTAATTTTAATTCAGATCAAATATAAATGTATTATTTAATAATTTAAAATTATAATGGTACTTTGTAAATCAAACTTGGAAAAAAACACCAAAACAGTCATTTCAGGTTGAAATTAAATGTTTTCCCCTGTGCTGTGATTGCAGGAACTTGGATGTATAATATAGTCTGCGGAGACGTAATATTTTCTGCACATGGCTGAGACAAGGATGTACTTGGCTTTTAACAATAATTTTACACCATTTCAGCAAATTCCAGCCTTCAAAGCAATGGAGAAAAGGAAATGATCGTTAGAACTAAAGCTTTCTTGGTTTTCAATTTAACCCTAATTCAAGATGGAGAACGTGACACAAAACATTGAAACATGTAAAGTACATTGATGCCTGTATATGTGTGTGCAGATGGACAGATAATTCTCACAAGTGTGTAAAAGAATAGGGGGAGGGAGAGAGGGAAAAGTTCAAACGCATGGTAAAAAATCCCTATACACATTTTATATGAGGTTCCAGTTTTCTGCTACGCATAATTATATCTGTTTCATTCAAGGTAAAATTAGAGTGGTTTTAAGCAACCCATTCTAAATATCAGTGTCAGAACTGTTCTGTAGTCGTTTGCTGAGAAAGCTTTACTATAAATGCCTGTTGAAGTCTCTGAGTATAAGGTAAACAGCCTTTTTGTGGATTTTCATTAGACCTGTTTCAGTGAAACATATGGCTACATCTCCACCTTCAGTTTTGTCCAAACTTTTCATTTTCTTCCCTATGTTAAAGGAACTTATATCTGGTAAATACTGTCAGGTGAGGGGGTATACATGGAAAAGTGGTAAACCAATAAATATACTTCAAATTTAAACTATAAAGAAGTAAAAACCAGTTACTCATTAGTTTCCTTCACCGCTTTCTTCCGACATGTAAGTGTTCCAAAGCCACCAGTAAAAGAGAAGGCAAATCCTAACCATGTAGATACCTTCAGTTTTGTCTTTGTTTTAAAACTTGTGTGATAAGAGCACCAAAACAAAACAAAAAAACCCCAAACCAACCAAACAAACCAAACCATAGAAGGACACAGACAAGTTAGCCCAAATAGATTTTTATTATTAGAGGATTTTGTGGAGAAAAAATTGGTTGTTTACCACCCTGTTTTCTAGAGAGATTGGATTTTTTTTATCGCTATGGCCTGTGGTGCGCCAACACTCCTGACTGCAGAGCTCTGTACAGCTTTAATGAGGTGTCTGTGATACCATCTTTAAAGGTAGCTTGTATATTCTACAGTGCACTGATACTTGGACATCCACATGTATCTTTCCAGTCTCTGTTTCTGAGTCTGGTCTGCACCACCAAAACAACTTCCTTCACTTTACTTCTTGTGTTCATTTAACAGTTTTTCCTGTTGGTTTAATTTGTATAAGCTCCTAAATATTTGGAGTAATATCTGGTATTTTTTTATGCTCAGCCAAGTTCGAGCTAGACTGAGTCACTCACTCTTTGCTGGCTTTCACACTTTGCTCTTTCCCAGAAAAAAAAGTCTGTCATGAGAAGTGAGAGAAGAGGCTATGCAGCTGGGATGAATGAACTTCAGTCCACATTGGGGATGTAGCTGTAATCCTGGAAGTATCAAGAAAAAAAAGAATCTGGGAGGAGACTGAGAGTACTCCAGGGTGCTCATTTTCTTGACTTGGTCTGAGGGAGAGGGCCCAGAGGAGTTTTAGGCTCTGCAAATGAGGGACTGAAGATGTTCAGTAAAGTCTGGAGGAGCTGACAGTAGACCCCTCTGCCTCCTTCACCTCTGTCCTTATCACAGGTCTTCCTTACCCTTGGTAGGCAATACCCAGTCTCCATCTGGCATTTAAGGCACCTCTTCTGCTCTTTGCAGCCTAACAGATAAAAAAGCTATTTCTTCCCTGATGCCTCACAAAGGTGATTTGCATTGGAGCTGGGTATGCTCTAACTTAGCTTTAAAGGTTTTTTTATATTTATAGTTTTTACACTATGCAGTTTATTTATTACTCCTTTACTATATGAAGACAAATGTGTGTGTTTGCTCAGATAGGTACAGTTCCTATATAACAATTTCATAACCTAAGTTGGCCTGCAGTAGGTTCAGAACTTCCTCAGTTTCCTGTGATTGATAGGAAACCTTAAAAATAAACTGCTTTGGCCTAGGCAGTCTTGCTGTTAGGCTAATAAATAGTGACAAACTAGACCTGTGTTTTCCTGCTGCTTGTTGCTACCATCTGGTGAACAGCATGCACACCTTTCACTTTTTTCAAACAAAGAAAATATTTAAGGCTTATTCTGTTTGGTTGTTGTTTCCTTTGGGATTAGCAGAAATAAAATGGTATTTTCACATCTTAGAAGTAACAAAAGCAAACTAAATTAGCTGTTCTGCTATATAAGTGATATTTGAGTGGGTTCTCTAAGAGGAGCTTCTAGTGTTGCATGTGTTATTGGGAGTCTACAAAGTACTGAACACACAAAGATTTTGTGTTTCATTTTCATAAGCATGAACTTAATTTTCCTGATTTTTTTTTTTTTTTTTAGGGCACTTTTTAGTACCTCTCTGACTTAAGAAGTCAAAAAACCTGGTAAACAATGACGCACAAATAAAAGCTGTGAGCAGCATAGGGAAATCTGTAGCAGATGATCTTGCCATTATGTTTTGAAAAGATTGACATGGATAGAGTCACACTGTGAGTTTTTACAGTTAAGTAGTCTGGATTTTATACTGAAATACCAGCAGTTTGAACATAAGTTCTGTGGTCTTATAAAAAGCACAGCAGCAATTGCTGAGAACTGCTGAGGAAATAATATGTAAACTGTTAAAGGCTGAGTAGTTGTTAAAAGCTGCAATGTGATTGTCTAATGGAAATGGAATGGGAGCAAAGCAAGTATACCCAAAACTGAGTATGAATCATGTAATTTTATGTTATTTTTTCCCCCTGTGCATTTATAAGAAGTTAAATCAAAACCAATGTTAATATTCCATTTCTATCAATAATATGTAGTACATATTGTACTATCAAGAGAGATAGTTTACCAGTTATCCCATTATGTTGCTTGGTTAAATAAAAAAAATAAAGAAATCAAAGCATTACTGTGCATAGTATTAACACTTAAAACTTCCTGAAATCTTTTTTATCTTTATCATTCATTCTGGTGAAGAAGGATGAGGTATATTTTTTTAAGAATTTTTTTTTTCTGTATGAAGTTGAGTATTTTTAATATGAAAGCCAGTGTTTAAGGCCAAAATATGCAAGAAAGTGACTTTACAGTAGAATAATTTTAAAAATGTAGAAAGGAAACTTGGGGATCCTGAACCACACAACTGTAATATTCAGAAGGCTGCTTAGCTGACTGTATAACTAATTGCAGGATGCTGTTCAAGGCTAGCATGCATAGTTTATTGTTCTAATTCAAATAAAAATGATTATTATTCAATATTTTTAACTCCAAGGACCCATGTTTTCATGCACTGGCAAATATGAGACATGCTGAGCTGTTTCCATAGTGATTCTGTTTTATGATGGAGATGTCTTACAGTTCTTTAGAGTATGTCTAGCTTCAAGGGGAGACCATAACAAAATACTTTTCCAAAGATGCTGTGGTTTCATGTTGACGATAGCGCACAGAAGCCCTTTGCAGCTGTGATATACAGTTGTGTAATCCAGCTATGTCCAAACTATATCACACTGAAACTTGTATGTGCACTATTTTCCACTGTGTCCTTCTCTTGTGGAGGGGCACAAGGTCAGAAGGGAGCTCAGCAGCTTTGAATGATCAGAAGACTGGTACTTAAGGTGCTCCACACAAGCCCGCAGAATAGAGGTGGGCTCTGCTGGCTACTCACTGAGTTACAGGATTGCGTCATGTATAGTGTAATGTGGATTTAACACCGCATTTATTTGAGTCATTTAGTTGAATCAAACTGATAAATCTTGCAACTTACATTGATACTGCACCATAAAACACCCACGTCAGCCCAGTCTTTAAACATGTGCTTAACTTTGCAGCCTTGTGATTAAGGTTGTGGACTGGGACACTGAAGAGCTGGGTTCAGTTCCTGCTCTAGTACAGTCATCCAGTGGGATACAGGGTAAGTCATTTAGGCCCCAATTTTTTTGAGCTGTTTAGGCTTGTCTCTGCTCAGCTATGCAACACCTGTCTAATTAAGATCTCAGGTATCATTTATAGTAGTGTTATACTATTTAAAAAACTATGTACAGTTGGCTTTCAATTAATTGTATGACCAGATTTTTAAAGGTAGTGATGCCAAAGCTTCTCATTTACAATGTGAATTTATGATATACTTCTGTCTCACACAATTTTTGAGAGAATGCTGATGATAAATCAAGGGTATTTAATGGTATTATTTGTCTTATATAGTCTTAAGACAGATAGTTCCCCTCATTTTGGAATGTGGTTGTTACTCTACTCCTCAGTTTTCCTCACGTTTATTTCCTTCTGTCTCCTGTTGTCTCTCTTTTCATGGTAGAAAGCAAGTCCTTTGCATTCTTTACTGAATGGGAATGTAGCTGCTACCTCAGTAGAAACAATCCTTAAGTAGATAGTCTGTATTTGCGGAAATGGGTAGATAAACAAAGATGTTTGACTCTGTGAGGGAGTATCGTAACCTCAAAACCAGTACAGTGTTCAGGGCCTGGCACAGGTTTTGACCAAATGCTGCGTGAGCAATATCAATGAAGATCATATTATTATGTCATGAAAATAAAACACAAGCTATTTTGTTAGCTATTTCGTTGCTAACAACAGCCTGTAGACTGTGAGGTAAACAAGATTGATATTCTTCAGTCCATCAGTAGTTTTTCTTAGATTTACTTTCCTCTGGTTTATTTCCTGCTTTTCTTAGACTCAAGACTGTAGGTACTCCATGCTTAGGATCTTTGTAAGATCTTGATAATGGAAAGTGATGTCCAATTTGAGTGTATTTCATGAAGATCAAAATAGCAAGTATGGACCTAAGTAGGAGTGGATAGTACCATAAAATCTGAGGCCTCCTGCACTTTAGGAAAGTTTAACTTTTCTAAAATAAACCATGTTCCATGAGATAAGCTATCTACTAAGGATATGCAAATGACAGCGTATTTTCACTCCTAAAAAAGCCCTAGAAAGTTGACACTGGATGAAGAAACTTAAAGTAGGACTTAGCTGGAGTTGAGGATAAATCCCACATTGGTTTCTGAACTTTGCTTAATTTTCTCTCATCACAGAGTTGAATAGACTAATTATACAACTTAATAGCTCTGAGTCTAAGCTTCTGAGGTCTTCAGATTTTTGCTTTGTAGCTTGCTCTGACATGCCACAGTCTGCATCTCTCAAGTGCTTTTGTTTAGCCTTACAGTGGTTGTAATCAAAAGTCGTGAGCCCTTTATATTAGGTGGCCAGCACAGTACTCTGTATTGCAGCATGAGACACACATTTGAAAATGAAGTGGCATGCTGCTAATTGCTGATGCCTGAATGTTTTGTGAACTCTGGTCCTAAATACACTTCAACAGCAAGGAGGAAGTTGGGCTCTGAACTTGTCAGTGCACTTAGTGTATTTATACATTTGCTGGCAATTAGTTTTACTGAAATAAATGGAGATACACCCTGAAGATAGAATTATACGTGACCACTTCCTGGGAATAAGACCTTAAAAAAATGAATTGTTTTACGTATACATGTCTAACAGTGAAGTAACAGTTACATTTTCAAATATATCTTTAAGGAGAATTTATGAGACCTGCAAGATCTGGATCTACAATGCTACATTTCTTTTTCTACCTCATGGCTCTAGTCTCTGTCTGGAGCCTGGTAGAAATGGGCTCATACAGTTTTCTTGCTTAGCTGCATAGAATCATTATACTGTACATTGTGTTGTCCGCTTTCTGAGCGTCTGAGGTGCACGCGGAGAAATCAACAGGAACAGTCTTCTGAAACAGCTTACGATCAGATGAAATTCAGAATGTTGTATGCAGTGTTCTGTATTTCCTTTATAAATTCAGTCTTGCTGCTCTGTTACAAGTCAAGGTGTAGAGTTTTTTAAGAAATGTTGGTTCAGCTCCTGATTGCATCACTATATCTCTTTAAAAGTTTGATTAAATGCCCAGAATTTCACACAAGCAAACAACTAGATCACATAATAACTCGCTTTCAGTAAGATCTGCTTCAAAATGTTAACAATGGTTTAGAAATTCAGTGTCTCTGGGCTTTTCCTATCTTACAAGATATATGGCCAAGATTCATGTAAATAGTCTTTGCATATGATCAGAAAAGCTGTGGTGAATGACACTAATTCAAACTCAGAAGGTATTAGAAGGTTTCACATTTGTTGTGTCGAGTGCTGACTCTTTTCCCTCTCACTGATTTATACTTTGTTCCTTTCATAGGTGCCTATCTTGTGCCATACTTAATCTTGCTCCTGATAATAGGGATACCACTCTTTTTCTTGGAGCTTGCTGTGGGGCAGAGGATCCGCCGAGGGAGTATTGGTGTGTGGAATTATATCAGCCCCAAACTTGGAGGAATTGGATTTGCAAGCTGCGTAGTAAGTTTTTAACATTAATTGTGTGGTTTGCTTTCAACCTGTATGATTTAGACTTACTGTTTTGCTGTAGGAAAAGTCCACTGAAGCTGGGCTTCAAGTCAGTTGACAATGTTTTGGAAGAGCTTAAAACTTAGATTAGTACATTAAAAAATATTAAAACAGATATGTCTGTAAAACCAGTCAACTTGTATTTTGTGATTCTTTTGAAAAGTAGTCTTCTGGAGGAAAAAAGTGTGTGAAAAGAGAGGTGTTATATGGTAAATACAGAGAAAAGTGAAAATTTATAAAATGTCAGGTACTTTACATTCAGTTCTTATTCTGACTTATTTTAGTTAAAATTAGGTTCAGTGACAGATGTACAGAAATACACAGTTGTTCAGTAGGGATTTTTTTTTTTTTTTAAATATAGTTAACTTTTTTGGTATGTCTCTTTTCTTATAGGTATGTTTCTTTGTGGCCCTGTACTACAATGTTATTATTGGATGGAGTCTGTTTTACTTTTCCCAGTCTTTTCAGCATCCATTACCATGGGACCAGTGTCCTTTAGTTAAAAATACATCTCATACCTGTAAGTCTATGCTAATGTTATTAAAAATCAGAGAAAATATATAAAATTTGAGATTTTCAAATAAAAGGGAGAAAATACTATTGGAAGAGATATGTATGGGAAACTGTTGTATACAAAGCTGGTTTTGCATCTTAATAAGGTGTTACACTATGATACTTGGAAAAAATACAAGAAAGGAACGTAATCAATGATAAATATGCTGTATTTGCAGAGTAACATCACTGTCAACAGCATTTTAAAGAGTAATGAAATTAGGAGAGTGCTGTTTAGTGTGTTGAAGAAAAAAGAAGAATTTGTGATTACTTTTTTTTTCTGATTTTGATACTGGTTTCTTGGTGAAAAACAAAGGTGGAAGAAGGATATTTCTACATTTCAACTAGTAGGATACTTCTTGGTTACAAAGCAAAAAATGTTGCATTACTAACAAAGCAGAAAATTGTAAACAGCAATGAAATCTGGATGAGAAAAGAGTTGTTTGCTTGTAAACTAATAAAAAATAAATAGTTGGTCATTGTTTTGTTGCTATAATGAGATGGTCTCAAATGGATGTATTATACAATAGAAGTTCCTTATCTCTTGGTTTTGGTTATCTTGTAATAGTTACACACTTTGCATTATTATTGCTCTTGAAATATGATTTTGTTTTTTCATTTCTTTTTATTTCAGATCTTAAATTCTCTATAGTTACCTTTCTGTGATTTTTTTTTTTTTTTTTTTTTTTTACCCCTTTAATAAAGAACACAACCAGAGACATTTTAAAAGTTGTACAACATTTTTATAGTGTCTTTGCTGGAGTTGCTTCCTTCAGTTGTTTGAAATAATCACTATATGTGCATGTTGGCATACAGTCAAACTGACTGTATTTCACAAGCTATTGTCCGTTAATCAAACCACAGTGTTTTTCTTTTTATGTACTCTTATCCTGCCTAAACATTAAGATATAGTGTCAACCTAACCTAAGCAGAGGTCATCTGAACTAAGCTTAAACAAAGAAAAGTGTTATATTTGATAACATCATTTTTGGCAGTTTATTTCAGTGAAGATCTGACTCCTGTGTTAGGTTTCTTAAAACTAGTCTTTTTTTTTTTTTTTTTTTTTTCATTAATGAACCTCGACTCAGGACCTCGTTTATAGATATGATTGACTGTCAGATACAAATAATTTATAAAAAAGTTAAGTATTTTCTTAGAATTCTTTCTATGTGTTGTATGTCTAGATACATACAATTTCTTAAACTGTTCAGTAATGTGAGTAAAGCAGAATTACACTAGAATTACACATAAGTGTGATAAATGGAATGTATGCCTACATCTAAGCCTACCTACTATTTAGTGCTTAAATGAAAAATAAATTCTGCCAAGGTCTTGGATTGGTGATATGCAGAGGAACGTATTATCCCAAAAGGATATACCCAGAACCTTTCACCAATAGCAGTCACTTTCTCTTTTAGACAATGTCTTAAGCCTCTTTGAGAGTTTAATATCTCAGTAAATGGTGACACCACAATTCAGATATTCAGAATTGGTAGAATGTTGTTAAGAAGTGTTGGGAGAATGCTTCTGTCCTGAATCCACTCTTTACTTGCTAACATCTCTTGACAGTTGTGGAGCCAGAGTGTGAAAAAAGTTCTGCAACCACTTATTACTGGTACAGAGAAGCGCTGAATATTTCCAGCTCTCTGTCAGAGAGCGGAGGTTTAAATTGGAAGATGACTATCTGCTTGCTGGCTGCCTGGGTGATGGTATGTCTAGCCATGATCAAAGGCATTCAGTCTTCAGGCAAAGTGAGTACCTCAGTGAGTTTACCTAAATGACCATGTTTTACTTTGAAACATTTAATGACATTTTTGTAACCACACCCTCTGTTTATTCTCATGAAATCTGTAGGAGCAGGTTAGAAGCTGTGGCTCACCCCAGATTATACAAATGTATAATCTCAAGTAGAGGAATGTTAGTAGTTAAGCATTAAAATTGTAGTAATTTTAGTGGGAATTGTAGTAATTTAGTGGGAATTGAGATCTGAAGAAGAATAATTTCTGTTCTTATCAACATAACTGTTGCAAGTAACTGTACCTCAGCTTTATTTTGTGGTATAAGTCTGTGTGTTTCTGAGTGTCTAAGGAATTAAGTTTCCATGTGTACTCACAGCATGACTGCAGTGCACCCAGGTCCTCAAAATGCCTTGCCATTTTTGTTGTTACTGTCATTGGTATCCATGTTTCTGTCATTGACACAGCTGCTTCTCAGGATTCTGGATTGTTTCTTTTGCCTAATGACTAACCATCCTTTTGCATCTCAATAGGTCACCTTGTCTTCTTTCCTCTCCATGCAGCCAGCTGGATTAGCTAGTGAATGATTTACTAGCGCTGTTGATTTCAGTGGGATTTTCAGGTTAAAAATAATATGTTCCAATTGAAAAATTATGTGGTATTAAAAAGTTTGTCAATGAGATGGAAATTTCTGTGACCTCGTTAGTATATTTTGGTTAAAGAAACAACTAGTAAGTTTAGCGAGATAATCATTTTATGAAACTTCAATGACAGAATAGATTTGCTTTTCAGTGATGGAGAATGAAAGATCATATATGATTACTAATTTTTTTTTTTTTTTGGCAGTAAGCAAGTGATTAGAATCTATTGGTTATATACTTTCTGTTGACTCTTGTCTTCTCTCCTGAAGATAGAATGGGTTTCTATGCATGCTGCATGTCTTTACAAATGCACTTTTATTCAAGTACCTAGTATGGTAAAGTGAAGCATTTCTAAAACAGTCTACTGTTTTTCTTGTTTTCATCTCATTGAATTCACACTGAATTTCCCTGGAAGCCCAGCAGTTTGTTATCAGTTAGTCCACACAGTGGCAACCGTATTGTTTTAATACAGTACAGAATTTATTTTGAAGTCGTGTGATTTTGCTTTCTTCCGCAGAGACAAGGGTAAAGGGAAGTGTTCTGTGTATTTCTCAGAGCATATGATTATCAATTCAGTCATATGTCCAAAACATACCGAGTAGTGAATGAAGCTATTGAAAACGAAGTTCACAGATGTCATGTTAAATTTTTTCTTAATGTTTTTCAGATCATGTATTTTAGTTCCCTTTTTCCTTATGTGGTACTTTTATGCTTTCTGATCAGAGGACTGCTCCTTAATGGGTCAGTGGATGGAATTCGTCACATGTTCACACCCAAGGTATGTGCTTAATTTCTGTTTGCAGTGTTTTAAAGTTTCAGTAGCAGTTTGACTATTTATGAATGCTCTCATTTAAGCTTATTGTCTTCATAGAACATTTGGCCACATTTCTGTTTGGTTGAATTACAAAATTTTTGTTGACCTCAGTGGTAGAATATCAAGCCCTAAGGTTCAAAGGCTGTAAGTATTCCAAGAGTCTTTGTAGAGCTACCTCCTGCAAGTGAAGGTTCCCAGAGTAAGATGCCTTTATAAAACTAAGCAACTGAAAGTGCTATTTACAGGATGTTTAGAAAGCTCCAAACACTGAAAAGAGAAGTGAGTCTTAAATCTTGTAGTTCTCTAGGATTAAAATGCCTAGTTCTGGGATGTTCTGGAATGTCACAGTGAAAAACCTTACCTGGAATGCTGTCATGTATTTGTATAATTAACTTACCACTTTTGAAAGAGGCCAAATTTGTTCCTTTTTAGAAATTAATGCTGTTTGCATAGTAGCCCAAAGTACAGAAGACCTATCTTTAATACTAAAGTAGTGTAAGTACTCACCACTTGGCCTTCCTTACCATGGTTCTTATGGTTGTCATACCAAGATAGCATCAGGTCTAAGCATATATTTTTTTTTACGGTCAACACTATTACCAGGAATGTGTTTACAGACCTTTTGTTTTTATAACTACGGAGGTGAGAAGGGATGTTATAAATCTATTCACACCCATCTAAAATGCTTGTGACTATCTATACTATAGGAACAACATGTTTGAGTAGTCAGGGGCATACTCAGGAGTATGAAGAAACTACTTGAAGGAATTCAGACTCCCCCACCTGTTGTTGTTTCCGTTCACTCAATTGTGCTAACAATTTATTTGGGCAGGCAGACTGTTAAAGGGACTACTAAACTGATCTAGGTTGAAAATAATCCAGGTAGTAGACATGAGAGGGGAGGGGGAAACATCTTTTCAGCCTCAATTAGTTCAGCAGATGACTTTTCATAAGGGCGGTTAATGACAAAACAAAGGGAAATGGGTTTAAGCTGAAAGAGGGTAGGTTTAGATTAGATATTAGGAAGAAGTTCTTCACTGTGAGGGTGGCCAGACACTGGAACAGGTTGCCCAAGGAAGTTGTGGATGCCCCATCCCTGGAAGTGTTTAAGGCCAGGCTGGATAAGGCTTTGAGCAACCTGGTCTAGTGGAAGGTGTCCCTGCTGATGACAGGGGGGTTGGAACTGGATGATCTTTAAGGTCCCTTCCAACCCAAACCATCCTATGATTCTATGACCACATTTTGATCACAGACGGTCACAACACATTCCCACAGAAGAGCTGTGTCAGCACAGCAGAGGAGTGGCACACATTGGTGCAGGTGTGAGAGCACAGGGATAATGAAGAAGGGGAGAATTTCTCTGTTTGGCATGGCTGATGAACAAAGCAGAAATTCTAAATAATAACCTTAATGAAAAACCTAAAGAAAGATATTGGCAAAGCCCACTTTAAAGTCAAGTACTGCAGTGAAACTGTGGGACTGTATGAAGCTTCAATACAGAGCTCCTAAAATTTCACAGAAAATATAATAGCATCAATGTCAAGAATTAATGGCAAGTTTATTTTGAAATGCTAGGCAATGTATACCTGAGTGTATACCACCTTTGATAATACCGAACGATATATTGCAGAAAGCGAGAAGTTTTTTTGATTTTTAAACCATTTACAGCTTTGGTAAAATTAAAACTATTCCTCGAGGTCCCTCTGGTGGAACAGCTCTAGCATGACTGTGCTATACAGGCAAATTCAACTGCCTGCAATAGCTACTTGTGCATTGTAATTATAACAAAAAAAAAAAAAGTCAGGAACAAGTTTATTGACATAAAAACTTTCTGTTGTTTTTTTCCCAAATATATTGTGTATTGTCTATATGTAAATAAATAAATAAGGTATCTTCTACCTGTCTTTAATAAATATTATACTTTTATGGGAAACTGGAAAATTTTTCAAAATGTTTTCATACAAATAGCAGATTTCTTTGTTCCTCAGAATAAGACAGTCAATGATGCTGGCATCTATGCTGATGGTTTCTAGTTTTACTATTTTCAATAAGCCTAGGGTTTAAAAAGAAAATCACATATGCAGATGTAAGGACTGTCACTGTTAAATGAATGGAGGCCCGATATCAACTTGAAAAAATCTAATGTTTAAATCTCACATGTACTTCTTTTTTATGATTCAGTATCTAGAAGCATCTGAAATAGACAGATGATGACGCATAACTTTGTAACAAAGATATTTATTGAAGTGTGGTCATCTGAGCATTACAGTTCAATTTTTTGAGAAAAGACTTAGTTGCCCCTGAAATATATGACCCGTTTAACTTAGGGTAAATTCAAGGCATCTGAGTAAAAGGGAGATTTGACTTGTGGACTATGCAGATTGTGGTGGCCAATGTTTTTTTCATATGCTGCATTTGCTTTACATATTTGCATGTAATAAAATTCCATATAAGTATGTGTATCTCATGGTAACTTTTTTTTTTTTTTTTTAAAAAAGGTAACTACAAAACCACTTTCAACATACTTGCTGCATTTATAAGAGGACTGATAATCCCAAAATATATCTTAATTCTAACAACTGTCAATACACATACTGTAAAAAAAAAAAAAGACAGTAAATACTGTTAAAAAAAAAAAAAGGGCAAAAAACCCCCAAACAACCCCACCAAAGATGAATGTTCTCTCTTATTTCTCAGTATCACTAGTTGCTATCATCATATGCTCCAGTAGTGTCTCACTGTTGGGAACATGCTGTATAGCATGTTTCCATTTAAGGGTAATATCATGGGACAGAATTTCTACTTATTTTATATAAGTTTGCTAAACTTAAGGTGTTACATTCAGTTTTCATTTTGTCATAATGAAAATACATTTGTAGCAGAGTACTAGCATTTTATGATGTAGGTTGTCTTCCTGGTTTTTTTTTTTTAGTTTCTATTGTCTTTTCATATAGTAGAAATGCATTTTATAGCTGACATATATTATATCTAATTTCAAACAGCTTGAAATAATGCTGGAGCCCAAGGTCTGGAGAGAAGCTGCTACTCAGGTGTTCTTTGCCTTAGGGCTTGGATTTGGTGGAGTCATTGCCTTTTCAAGCTACAACAAGAGAGACAACAACTGCCATTTTGATGCTGTACTGGTGTCCTTCATCAATTTTTTCACTTCTGTGCTGGCAACTTTGGTGGTGTTTGCAGTTCTGGGCTTCAAAGCCAATATCATAAATGAAAAATGTGTTATCCAGTATGAAATCTATTTATTTTTCTTATTATTTTTATGGTATATTTCATTTATGGATTAATACAGATCATCAAGTTTAATTTCTGTGTTTTATTGTGTTTTACAGAAATTCAGAGAAGGTTTTAAAACTTTTGAAAATAGGTAATCTGAGCCAGGATATGATCCCACATCATATCAATTTCTCAAGCATTACAGCAGAAGATTACAATTTAGTTTATGACATTATTCAGAAAGTTAAAGAAGAAGAGTTTGATTCTCTTGGTTTGAAATCTTGTCAAATTGAAGATGAACTTGACAAGGTGAGAGTAATTAAGTCTGAAATACAGAGATTATGAATGGATTAATATTTGTAAGCCTGAAGTAAACTGTTAAGTATACTTACACAGAGTATCAGTCCAGTGTACCTACGAGCAGCGCACCTATATTGATCCATATAAAAATATGGTTCTCTGCAGCTCACCTGAGAACTTTTGGGTCCAATGCCTTCATATAATCTTCACTGATTTATAATATATTCTGATCATTATATTACTCTCCTCAGGAAATTTTAACAGTCTGATTTTTTTAGAAGAGTTGAGTATGAGAATTTTTACAAAGACTAAACAGAGGTGTACCTATTCAGCATCTCAAACTGACGTCTTCTAATGTTAAGATATAATTATTAAAAATTATTAAGTAGTGGGAATACTACTTCACTAGAAAGTAAAAAATTATTCTTTACTTATTATATAATTGCCAAATCGTCGACTTAGACATTAAAAGTTTCTATACTATTCCTGCCATTGAAATTTGAAACAAATAGGTATAGAAATTAAGTCCTTACTATACTTACTGGAGAGGACACAGTGTATTTTGTAGCAGTCCTGTGTAATAGCTCTCCTTCAAAATTGTCAAGGAAAGAGAGGAAGAAGTGTGTTAATATCAGTCAACTTACAGATTCTCAGTTGAATTTAATATTTCAGTAAATAGTATTAAGTTTGCAGGTTTGGAAGAATCACGTACTAGATAGTAGCTTCCCACTCTAACTTCAAGATTTAATCAATGACACTGCCTGAACATAAAGTCAGACTGTCACACAAAAATACTGTCCATGAATAATAACATGGATTTTTTTCTCACTGGCAGGCAGTTCAAGGAACCGGTTTAGCTTTTATTGCCTTTACAGAAGCAATGACCCACTTCCCTGCTTCTCCCTTCTGGTCAGTCATGTTCTTCCTCATGTTGGTAAATTTGGGACTTGGAAGTATGTTTGGAACCATCGAAGGCATCATCACACCCATTGTTGATACCTTCAAAGTCAGGAAAGAAATTCTTACTGGTAAGTTGCACAAACTTTATTTTCTTGCTAGAGCAGTAAGCTAAAAATCTTTTTGAGAATGTGAAGTCTTGTTTATTAACATGAAAGTTTTCAGTATAAATCACTGTATTCCAAATTGTACTTCCATGCACAGGCACTTCAGTATCTGCAAGTAAAACCTTTTCCTGAATGCTACAAGAGCAGGAACATTCTATAACTTAAATTTTAATGAAGGATTTCTGTTACAAGTTTCTATATGATCAGTCCTTCTGATCGCTTCCAGAATACTTTCTATTCCAGCCTGTGTCACAGATCAGGGAAACAAAGGAAAAGGAAAGAATGACAATACATTGCAAATCACTGTAAATTATTCCTAAGTAGGTCAAATGAAATCTTAACTTTTGAAAAGTTTATTATGTTAAAATTCATTACAGTTACTCTCTAGAGGAACATATTTTTCCTCTTGAATGTGGAAAGGTTCTTAAACAAGATGTCTAGGTGAGTTTTTTTTAAGTGCACAATGTTACTTGAGGTGTGGCCTGTTCATGTAGCTCTGATGATCTTTTAGCAATTTCTCTGAGACAGAACATCAGCATAAATTGTGTAAGTTAAGTTTCTGAAAATCTTCAGGACAGCTACAAGGAACTTGATGTGTTACGCACAAATATGGATGTTGTTTCAAAACCTGTGGAGGGATACAGGAGGGATAGAAAATAAACAGTATATAAGCTGCTTTAACATTACCTAAATCTATGAAGGAAATAATAATATTTTATAAGAGTTAACCCATAATATTTAACAGAAAACTTTTTTTTTTTTGCTTTGCTAGATCTAAGAATAAAATTCTTCATAAAGATAAACCAACTGTTTTTTCAGAAGTCCTAACCTATTTAACACTTTATCAGCTCTTAAATTCTTACTGAATAACCAGTGAACCATTCAGAAATTAGCTGTTCTTCCTAAGTACATATGCAAATACTGTGATGTATAGTCATTACTCTGGAGTAATGGGGCATTTTATGGTAATTCCTTGTTACTGCGTTTGACAAAAAAGCCTATTAAGATAAAGGAATATTCAAGAACTGCCTTACTCTCGTAGGGTTTTTTTGAGTGCTTTGCAGGCATGATTTTTGCTAAACTCAGTTGTACTCAAAAGATTACAACTTCATGTGGTGTTTTTGTAATTAACTTTTAAAATTGAAATGCCTGATACTTCATGCAATATCAGGATTTAACAAGGACTATGACTGCAGTAGGGTTTGTACTTAAAACCCACAAATCTTCGAGTTTTACAGGAGTGTGAGCACATTTGCAACTCTTTGCACTATGGTTCCACTTCAGTCCCTCTTGACTTCAGGGAAAGTGACTCATATGCTTAAAGCTATTTTATGTTCAAGTATTTCCAAATCAGAGTCTGCACGTGTATGTGCCAAATTATGATGAGTATACCTACCAGAGCCTTGGTTTACATCTAAAGATGCATATTTTTGAGGTGTAATGGTAAGACACAATGGGAGAACATAAAGATAACAAGGATTTCTAAATTTACATATGCACAGTTCTGGTGGCCTTATCCTTTTCTCAGGGTCAGTAACACAACTTAGTGTAAAAAATGAGTCTCAAGTTGAGGAGATTTTATCTATGTTCTTTTGGTTTTGTTGTCTTGCGTTAGGAGTTCCTATAAATTTGTAACAATCTCTTTAGTTCTAAATTTCTATTATCTGAAAGTCACTATAACAGTAGTTAACTACAAGGTTGAAAAAAGTGATTGGTCTTATATATCAGTATTTTAAAAAAAGTGTCATTGTCTTCCTTTCACTACTTTAATCAATAATAGTTGATTATCTGGGATTTATGCAATAGGTGTATTCAATTAGGATATTTTGTACTTTGACCCAGATTAATTTTACCTAATTTTAGACTGCATAGGTGTATCCTCAGCCTAAGTTCTGAGTGGGGGGAGAAAAAAGGCACTTCAAGTGGGAGAATGAGTCTTACTGGTGCTGAACCTACAACTGATTTTGTGGTTTATTGAAATTTTACTTATTTTGTGTCTGTCAGTCCTATTCTTGATGAATTTAGTAGGAAAAAATAATACTGAGATTCATTACTGCAGGATCAAGCATTCAGTAAGTATATTTTAGGTTGTCCGTAAACAAAAGAAAGGGCAAGAATGAGGTTGCTTAGCGCACAGATACCTTTAGTTAGATCCTAAAGGAAGTTCATGCTGTGAATTATCTAGGGAAAGCCTTTTTAATTTTTAGAATCACAGTCTGAAACTTTGGTCCTTTTAACTTCTAAATTCCAAAAAGTGGTCTAGTGACCAAGTAATATGATGTATGATGTTTAGCTTACCAGTTCTCCTTATTTTAGCCTTGCATTCACATTAAGTTAAATGTTTAATGAGAAATAGTCACTTGATTAATTGAGACTGCTGTATTAGGGCAATTCCACTAATTACTTCTAATTTCATAACTTTTCTTTTATATAGGGAATAGGTAGGATTCCTAATGTCATTAAAATTGAGACTCCCCAAATAGGAAAATGTTATCAACTTTGATTATATGAAATAATGTGTTAAAGTATATTTTTATATAGCTGTTTCGAGCTCTCTTTATTTCCTTTTTCTCTGTGGAACTTCATTATAATTATGGCTCAAGTTTCTGTCCTTTTTTCCAGTGATCTGCTGCTTGGTAGCATTTTTTATTGGCCTGATCTTTGTGCAGCGCTCTGGAAATTATTTTGTGACGATGTTTGATGACTACTCAGCTACTCTACCCCTGCTTATTGTGGTCATTTTGGAGAATATTGCAGTCACCCGAATTTATGGAATAGACAAGTAAGCGAAGGAAATGTATTTCCCTGTCCATATCAGCAGTATTAATTACAATAATTATTACTATTTTAATTATATTGCCTGAAGTATTTGTGAAGTATACATAAATACAAGTAAGTAGAAAATGGGTCAATCTGGACACGAATTATGTTTTTAATAACAAGTTTGGAGCAAGATAAAACTGCATCAGGACAATGTACTGAAACCCGAAGAGCAATTGCAACACATCCAAAGAGAGGAGAATGCAGTAAAAGAGGCGAAATTAGAGAATTAGAAAGGAGGCTGGATGTGCAAGTATGAGGAAATGATGTAGAAAGAAGACAGCAAGAGAAAGATTTCAAGAAATAATAACCATGGTCTAAGCAGCAGATGAGGATGAGTATTCTGAACACATCTGCAGTATTCCACGCAGCTTGAGAGAGGACCAAAGCAAACTCTAATGACAGTAACAATAAGAAAATTTCAGTTTATGAGCTAGATTTATTTTGAGCTGGTGTAGCAATTGTTCTTTGCATTAGTTGTGATAGAGGAAAATAGAGGGAATGATAGCAAAGAATAGGCTCAAAACTTACTTGGAAGCAGCACAGTTGATAGTGAAGTTAAGTAACCTTCTATCTGATGACTGAAAAGACCATCAAGTCCCTCAAATTTTTTATGTCTTATGAAAATAATCAGAATGTGTTTTAAGGAATAAAAGAGATTGTATCAATAATAACTCATGCCATCCACAGATAAAACAAAAGTGTGCTATACTAGCATGTTGTAGTAATTTAAACATCTGTGATTGCTTTGCATGTACAAAGGGTGACACAGAATGGATGTTTTTTTCATTTGACTTTTCACTTGTTCTGTCTAAGTAATCAGCTCATCCTTTGCCATAATGAAATAAAACTATAATAAGAAAATTTAATTTTATGATTTCCAGATGTTGTTTCTGGTCTACGCAAGTAGCGCCTGGTCCAGTTACTCATTAAGGAAGAATTCCCACTTGGGCCACATGTATAATCCTGTAATTGATCGCATAGACATGAAAACACCATGTAATGTTTTTACACATGCAAATAAAAGATGAAACAGATGACCTGGGTATCAGGTTGGTAATGTCCAAACAGGTAGAGTTCCACTGTGAAGGAGGTAGACATGCCAGAAGTTACCTGAGAGGAAGCTGGTGTTTAGGAGTAGCTAAACTATGGTAATACTTTGCATCTGGATCAGAGTGCAGTTGATTTATGTTTTCAGAAGAGGTTTTGACAGAATAGAGTGAAAAGTTAACAGCCAGATTTCTCATTCATAATGGACACCTAAACCTCCCTCCAGAACATTCCTAATATTTTTTCTAATGTATATTTCTCCAGAATATCCTTCTTTATGAATTCTTGTTTGCAAAAACTACCAGAATCAACAACCTCAGCTAGTCATTGGCTGTGATAGCACCAGGGGGTCATACTCACAGATGAAGATCCATGCATTTGTCTTACTAGATTAGACACATGTCTTTGATCAGAAAGAAGAAAAAACAAAACAAAAAAACCCCAACACTAAATTGAAAGGAATTACAGCCGAAGGACAGAAAAAAGACAACATGTTAATGCCTGTAGTTAAGAAGGAAAAGCTACTATGAGGGAATCGGTGCTAAAGGAGCTTGGTAGCTACATCAAAAGAAGTGTGGCCAGCAGGTTGAGGGAGGTGATTCTCCCCCTCTGCTCCACTTTTGTGAGGCCCTGCCTGGAGTACTGTGTCCAGTTCAGGAGCCCCTGACTCCTAGGAACTAGGAAAGCTAAGGCCTCATTAGAGTTA